GAGAGCTCCATCCACCTCTACTGCTTTCCCGGGCCAGCCAGGTTCAAAGCCCCTCTGTCGCCTCACGGTGCCGCTGTACATGCGTGCTGGTTTCGCCTGGGCAGGGAGAGGATGGGAATCGAGAGTAGGAACTACAGAGGCTACTAAGAACTGGACACTATTCGCCAGGACTTGTACAGAACAGAGCAGCCAGGACCAATCTGGCAGGGGGGTAGCTTCCTGACGAGCCAGGTCAGTGGTGGAGGGGGCTGCCCTGAGCTCAGAATGGGCAGCTGGTCCTCGTGTGGGAGAACTTGGTGGAAGAAAAATACAAGGAGGAACCTGACCCAGGGTCAAATATCTTTTCATTCCCTGGATCACAACACAACAGGGAAGAGGAGTCAAGAATGTTTCATTCCTAGATTTGCCGTACCATCTCTCCCTGCCAGCTCTCCCCTCCCACCTGGCAACTCGGCTCTCCTTTCCCGACAGTTGTCCTCTGACAGACGGAAAGCACTTCAGTTTGTTGTTGTGTTTTCTCAGACTAAAGTAAAGCGCTGAAGCTCAAAATAGAGGCGAGAATGGAGTTCTTCTTTGCCTGGTGCTGCAGGCCCCACCTCACAAGACTGCCTGGATGCAAGAGGTGCCAAGGCCTTCTCTGCCAACTCTAACCGGCACTACTGTCTCGCCGGCTGCCAGCACAATCCTGGCTCCTTGTTTTTATACTCCTGGGGGAACCCATCCCGAGAGATCTATCCTGCTCTTTTCCTGCCAACCCAGCTCGTCCCAGATCATCTGCTCTTATCAGAACGACTTGGCAACCTAAAGTAGGCTAGCCAAAGGCGGCTGGGGAAGGACTCACCAGACCCGCACCAGCCGCCCATGTACAAAGGAGAAAGCCGCCCTCACTGAGCAGCTGACCTATTGCTGCCAATCTTGTAACCAAACGAGGAAGTCTAGCCTTCTTGCTCCCATAGAGATCTCAATACAGAAAGGAGTCCTAGCTTGGACTGAAAGGGAAAAATTACTCTGAGCTCTCTGAAGCTTGAACATTAAGGCTTCTTTGCAATTTTCTTAGAGCTCCTTGATCCCTAATTATATCTTCCCAGAGAAGAAAAGCAGACTTCTCCTAAGATTGCTGAACAGATCCGAGATGTTACCGCTTCTGCACCATCAATAGCTTCATCCCAGGCCTCTTCCCCTCTCCCCTCCTGGGAGCCACAGCAGGAGGTCCAAAGCACAGCGCCCTCTTTTACTCAGAAGCATCTGTCAGTCTCTCGCTTTGGAAAGTTCACCTGCTCTCCTCGGTCCTTTCGGAAAGGCATGGAGGACAGAATCACATGTTGCCACTTGATGACATTAAGGCTCCTCAAGGCAAGACACTTGAATTAGGTCAGAGCCAGCCAGCAAGGGGAGGGGAAGAAGGAATGGGGAAGCAGCCCCAAGGCAAGGACTGGAGACCCCTGCCCAGACCTGAATCTAGAGGGAATGCCCACCCCGGCTCAGAGCAGGAGAGGAAAAGGCACGTGCTGACTGGGGCGGGTCTGCCCCAACCACCAGGGAGGGCAGAGAACCTGCGGTTCTTTCCCTGGGCTTCCCAAGGTGAGTCCACTTCTAGGGAAGGTACGTAAGTGCTGGGAAAGGAATACACTGCTGCTGTTTTCTGACTTTCAACTGAGATTCCAAAACCATAGGCAGCCTTCCCATGAGAGGGTACAAGCAGGATAAGAAGGAAGTGAAATTCCTTAAAACGAAAGCTTCTCCAAAAAGATAAAGTCAAATCACAACTCCGAAACGGGATTAAACAGTTCCCAGACACAGAAAGAGGAAGGTAAACTTAACGCAAACTTCGCGCCCTCTCTTCAAAGCCTAAGTGACCTCTCATGGGATCCCAGTTTCAGGCCAGTATTTCTTAGGCAAACAACGGGGACGAGAGAACAAGACCACACGCTCAAACCAACAGGTGACCTGCAGGCCCTGCGACCTCCTGGGAGCCTAGCCCTACTCACACCTACAGGTGACCATCCTCTAAGTCACCGGAACTCAGCGTATCCACTGAGCAGCTTCTCCTCACAGTGGAGGTTTTCTGGAAAAAGCGGATGTGGTTTAGGGGACATGAGTGCCACAGACCGTTTCCTGGCACAATGTTTCAGCGTGAGTGAAGCCCAGAAAGTCTTCTCGGAGGCCAGCTGGCCCCTGACCCAAACCAGAGCTACACTGCAGACTCTGTCCGTCCTCAGCAGACCGCTCTGCGTGGTCCACCACCACAATCGAAGCCACGCTTCTGGCAAAAGGAGTTCCTCCCGGGCTCAGGGGAATCTAAAAACCTAGGCAGAGTGTGGATCCAGTGGAAGAGCCCAGGTTTCTCCTCGCCACCCCTAGCTGGCATCACTCATCACCCAACCTCAGTCAGAACCCCTACAGTGCAGGCTGTCAGTCCGAGCACTAGCTCAAAATACAGGCATGGGAACAAACAGTGCAAAAAGCAAAAAATGAACTACAGAGTAATTCTTGACCCAAACAATACAAAAATAAAAATAAAGAGTGCCCCACCCTACCCCCTTAATCTAAACTTCATGTACCTATATCATCTTGGAGTAAAAACAAAAAAAAAGCTTTCAAGTTCAGCATCATGAGCCAGCTGTGTCAGCCGTGGCTCCAGGGGACTCTACCCCAGCCCCCACCATCTCTTCCTGTTTCCTCATTTCCCCTTTAGTTTTTGCCATAGAAAGATGTTCCTTCCTTTCAGACACAACCAGAGAGGAAAGCGCCCATCCCTGTCCCTGGGCTCAGGGGAAAAGGGTGGGCTTGGAAACAGAGGCAGAGGCAAAGCTGTTGGCTTACAGTACCGTTAGGAAATGGCCCCGAGAGCCAGGGTTTCCTTCGAGACTCTGAGTCACTGAAGGGATGGGTTGAAGTGAGGAGGCGGGGACCCCTCTTCCCTAGAGACCCAGGCAAACTAACGAGGCAGAGTGGAGCAGCAAGTCTTCCTTCCTCCTGTTGTCAACTGCACTGGCAGTGGCCGCCGGCTTTGGAGTTGAGAGAGAATGGGAACCAAAGCCACTGTCAGAAGCCCAGTTATAGTCAGCATGTCCACCGCCCCAGGCAGCTGGTCCCAGGATCAAGGCTACGGGACATCCTTTAAAGCGGGGAGCTTTGTGAAGCACCCCAAAGTGTTCCTCTGATTGCAGCCCCGGCCGCAGCCGGCCAGCTGCCTGACTCGATACCCTAGCACTGAGACGTAAGTCACAACTAACGTAAAGGGCTACAACTCTCAAAGAGCAAAATGCTGGCCTGGAGGAACTCAGTAAAAGCCAAAGCCCAGGATATGAGCCCAAGCACTACTTCGTTTGTCACTAACAAAGATGGAGCCTCTTTAAAAACATACCTCAAAGGAGAAACTCAAAATTAAATATATTCTTTTTAAAAAAAATCCATCTGGCCTGAGATTCTTTGCTGCTCTAGCCCAAGCAGAAGCTAATCTTGCTGCCTTCCATTTATAAAACTCCTTGTAGCTGGGAGAAAGGTGACAATGACCAGAAAAGAAGGAATCAAGGAAGCTTCATTTTCTGCAGAAAAATTTCCAGGAAATTCAAAACAGACACTTAGATGCTAAGGTTGGTTCAGAACCGCCAGGACTATTGTGACTGGAAATCTTTCAGCCTTGTCACACCAAGAACCTAACTGCTACCTGGACAGGAAAATGAATGGACAGAGGAGCATACTATTAAGATCAGTGAGCAGTGTCACTGGGTCAGATATAAACAACCAGTCAGTCTATTTCCTTGGGGCAGCTGTAGGCATAGCCCAAAACTGGTTGAACTGTGACATAGAAAGAACATAGGAATAAATGAACATCAGATTCTAGACACCCTAAACAGTGGTCAGTCACTTAGTAGGACTCAAGTCTCTGAGGTTGCTCTTAAATTATGCTAACATAAGCCTTTTCTAATCCAAAGACCAGAAGAGACTCTTAAGGTCAAGTGTTCTGCTGCTGCAGGCTGGAAAGCGGCTCTGCCTCCTGGCAGCAAGACCCCGCCAAGGGGCCAGTAGAGAACTGCTGGGTCAGGTCCTCCTGGCTGCCGCTCAGAGACCCAGGGAGGGAGGGACCATCAAGATGAAGTGGCAGATGACAAGACATTCAAGCAGACGGAATCCCAAGTCCTCACATCTCCTTCCCTTCTTGGCAATAATTTAGTGAGATGGTTGAGAGAGACAAGAGATTTCAAATAAGCCAGCTTTGAAAAAAAGAGATAGAGAAGAAGAAATCAAGTCTCCAACAGGCACTGAAATAAAAATGATTTTTTGTGGTAACAAGTCAGAGGCCATTTGAGGGCCTGACATAAACTAATCGTCTTGGATACCAGACAGGCCTCTGACTGGCACATGTTACGGAGACAAGCAATGATAAAGCTCACACACTGAAGGTGGAACCATCATAGGCTAAAACCAGAAAGGCTTCTACGTAAGAAAGTATCGACTTTTCTTTCCTTTTAAAAACCCCCTTCTGTTTTCATCTTTATCATACAAATTATACATCTTCACACACACACCAACCACACATCTGCTCAACCCCGGGCATCTGGAAATGTACCTGGACATCACCTCAGAACATACCCAACCCCCAGCACTGGTCCTCTCAGTAAGGAGATGGCCTTTCCCTGCGGTTAAATTCTAACCTAAAAAGAGGTGTCTGCTCCAAGTTCAGAGTCCTTTCCACTAGGTACACAGACGAGGATCCTTGAACAGGTCGGACCCAGGTTATACTCAGTACCTAGAGGAGAAAGAAACGGCTGGGCCAGCCACAAGGAGAGGACTGGGACTGAAGCAGGTCTGGGACCAGGTGGTGAACGAGGGCTGCTCTCTACTCAATCTGCCTCTTTTTATCTCCTTTAATTTTTTTTTTTTTTTGTGGTTTTGTAGTTTGTTTGTGTTAATCACTATGAAAAATACAGAAACCAAACCAACATGTTGGTTTCTTTCCCACACCCCTCCACCCTGCTCAGGATGACAATGTGCTCTCACAACCGGCAGAGGCAGAAGAGAGTTGGAATGAAGACTCCGAAGGCCACCAGGATAGGAAACATGAGGCTGCTGTTGTCCGAGGCGTAGGGGTTGGGCGTGCGGGGGCCTGACTGCACCCGGTTCTTATTGGTCTGTCTTTTGAGATTAGATCCTTCATCGTATTCTTCTTCCTCCTCTTCCTCTTCTTTCTTCTCCAGTCCTGGATGAGGCTGCAGCTTTGGTACATCTGACATAAAAGAGGATATCTTTTAAGTAAGACCCACAGCATCTAAGCGAGGCCCTTAACAGCGGTAAATGAGTCACAATAAGAAGCTATGACCTAACCAGGGTCCAAAGGAAGGAGCAGAAGTAGCAGAAATAGTTTCTGGCCTGGAGAATAGCAGATTCCTAAAAACATTAGCCTTCTTTAGATTTTTTTTTTTTTTTTTTTTTTTGCCTTCTTTAGATTTAACTAAAAAGTAGTAAAATCCCTGCACACCAGCCTTAGTTCTCCAAATCCCCAAGAGGACAGACTGGACAGGGATGACACAACACCCAAACTTAATTTTCCCAAATCCCTCCTGGTCCCTCCCATAATCCATTCCCTTTTGATTCACAAAGCAGGTGAATTCTGGGTTCCCACACATACCACCCCTCTGCTCTGTCTCCTCCTTAGGGCCCAGGCTACAAATCTGTTGGTAGCAAGACCTCCTCCTGGACGTCATCCTATCAGCATGTGGGGGACAGCAGACAACAGGATGCGCCCTGGCCAGGTGGCTCTGTTGTGTGGAGCCACCCTGTGCACCAAAACGTTGTGGGTTCAATTCCTGGTCAGGACACATACCTAGGCTGTGGTTTGATTCCTGGTTGGGGCCTCCCATCATAGGGCTAAAACCAGAAAGGCTTCCAAGAAAGAAAGTATCTACTTGCGTATGGGAGGCAACAGTTGGTATTTGTCTCTCACATAGATGTTTCTCTCTCTTCCTCTTTTTGTTTTTCTCTTTCTCTCTCTTAATCAATAAACATATCCTTAGGTGAGGGTAGAAAAATAAAAATTAAACAAAGACAACGAATGAGATCCTTAGTGCATTCAGTTTGGAAAAGGTACAGAGGTGGATGGGGAGAAAAGTCACTAAAACACAAGCTTTCTCTGCAAAAATCAGCCTGGGAAGCTGGCAGCCAACATAGTCTGAACTTGAGAAAGAAATATCCCCTTAGGCCAGATCACAAGGGTAAGGAGACATTGATACATGGACTTTTGTCCAGTGCAGTCTGGCAATGCTGGAGCCTCCAGAGCACCCGAAACCATGAAGAACTCCTTTGTCCCCCTGCCATCCCCAGAGGAAATAGATATCAAAGAAACAGAATAAAGGAAAGTTTTATTTATTATCATTTTTAAAAAATTTTTATTGATGTTTTACAGTGAGAAAGGGAGAGGGATAGAGTTAGAAACATCGAAGGGAGAAACATCAATCAGCTGCCTCCTGCACACCTCCCCACTGGGGATGTGCCCGCAACCAAGGTACATGCCCTTGACTGGAATCGAACCCAGGATCTTTCAGTCCACAGACCGAAGCTCTATCCACTGAGCCAAATCAGTTAGGGTTAAGAAAAGTTTTAGGCAATTCCAAATGACTATAAGAGTCAGGGCACACCAACAGGTGCCATTTACAATGAAGTTAAAAGAACTTGTCCAAAACCAAACAGATGATTAAATGACAGGAATAAGATTTAAACACAAGCTCATGCTCTAAAGCTTATGGCCAGCACCAGGCTACACTCTATTACAGCGATCTGACTCTGAGTCTCCACAATTTGGCTTTAAGTAATAGTTTCAAAGTAGTGAGCAGCTAAATTATTCCCCAAGGGTTTTCTCAACCACATTCTTCAGCCCAAGTCAAAAAGCGGATAAAAAACAACTTACCATCCACTGTCCCCGACATGATGTAGAGCGCACAGACTTTGGGATTGTCATAGTACCCCTAGGAAAAGGGAAACAGTGGTCAGCCCCACACAGCAGCAAACACTCCCCCTGCACCCATTCCTGGAGCTTTTCCTCCGCGGGGAGGGCAGAATAGGGGCATTACCTTGACAAACTCGATGTAGAGTTTTCCTGTGAAGGTGGATACTTCCCCCTGGACGCTCAGCTTCCCTTTTCTGATGCTCATAGGGATGATTTCATCGTGAGCTGTGCTGTGTCCAACACGATCGAAGATATCCAAGTCCTTCACCACGACATGGCCATTCAATCGCACATCAAATACCTTGAAGATTAAAAAGGAGACAGTGTCAAAACCATCAGTTTCATGCTCTTTCAGCAGCTGGATAACAGGCACCTGCTTGGGCTTCAAGTTCAATAATAACTTAATAACAGGGCTATATTTATTCTAGGGTGACTAGAGTCCTTTACCTGATCCAAATCAAGTTTATGTTCCTTGTCAGGAAGGCCTCATACTAGCCTTAGGAAAAGCAAGAAGTTCAACATGGAAAGGGAAATCACAGGCAGGGACAGGAAAAGAACAAAGCTAACAACAAGAAGGTGCTGACAACGAAGGGAGAAAGCACCTGGAGGGCCGCACAGGATCAGTCTGTAGCCAAGAGCTGGGATTCTGGCATTGCTTTCTGTCACCAACCCCATGGAGCACCAGCATTTTAGGGGCAAAAGGAACCCAGCTTTTCCTTCAAAGCTCATCTGTTCTTCCCTTCTGGGAGGCCCACAGCAGAAGACTATCCAAAAGTAGCCATGTCTCACTGGTGGGGGGCTGACCAGGCCTCACCTTCTGCTGGGACTGTGCAAAGTAGACCTCAGCGAATTTCAACACCAGCACGTAGTCCCCTTCCTCCCTGATGGGCACTTCATAGCCAAAGGTCTCCTCATTGTACCGTTCTGTTTGATATAGGATCTGGTCCTCGGGGCTGGATCGGAGGATTGGCAGTTTCATGCCATAGTCAGAGGCTGGGGACAAAAGACAAAGAGAAACCACATCAGAGGCAAAACATAAAAGAAAAACAGAGACTCCAGAAAGGCCAGAGGCATTTTCAGGGCAATGCTAATAACCCCCCAGTGGAAGAGGCAAACCCCCCTGCACCTGGCTCCACACAGACTGGACACAAAGGCAAGATGACTAGTATTAAGCCGGAGTAAAATGAAAAAAAAACACACACCAATCACCCCAACAGATCGCTTCACCCTCATAGCAGGACTTTAATAAAAGTTCTTCTTTCAGAAATGACTTTTTCTAACTGTACAGAGTGGTGGGAAGAGAACAAGTCTAACTCATTATTAGAACAAAGCACTATGCTACAGCTGCCTGGTTCCCTGCAGGAGCGCTTCAGAGACCTCATAAAACAAAGGGAAGGCCAGGGACTCTGGAGAAGATTAAGTTCAATGAATGTTGTTGTTTCCTCATTTAGAAAAGCTCAGAGACTATAAAAGAGAGTATCTGTTAGGAAAGTTGTTCTTCATTGTCTTTACCACAACCAAGATACAGCTTTAGTTGCTTTGTATGATTTTTTTAAATAAATATTTTATTGATTTTTAACAGAGAGGAAGGGAGAGAGATAGAGAGCTAGAAACGTCGATGAGAGAGAAACATCGGCCAGCTGCCTCTTACACACCCCCTACCAGGGATGTACCCACAACCAATGTACATGTCCTTGACCGGAATCGAACCTGGGACCTTTCAGTCCGCAGACCGACGCTCTACCACTGAGCCAAACCGGCTTTGGCGCTTTGTATGATTTTTCATTCAAAAAGTTCCAAGGCTGGAGAAGAGAAACATGCTTATATAAAGAAGGGTGTGATGCTCTCAAATTTCCTTTAGGTCCGAGCACCAGACTCCCCAGACTCACAAAATGCAGCCTCGCCCACTCTCTTGAGCATTCCCCAGTTAAAGGAAAAGAACTTCCTGCTGTATCGCCAGCACCTAACAGGACTTGGCACTTGCCGAGCGAGCGAACCAATGGAGCGAACCAATGGCAACAACGGAGGTGCCTGCAAGGCAGCGAGCCATCCCAGGGCAGGAGCCATCCCAGCAGGAAAAGATCCGTTCAGGCCCTGTGGCACCTCTGGCTGGGAGTTACCTTTTCCACTCACAGACGGACCAGGAACAAGACAGGGTAAAAGGAAAAGACTCTTCCGGTGGGCCGGTATCAGACAGCCCCCAGCTCTCCCCTAAACTTGGTAGGCGAAAAACAGAATATGTTTATCTTCCCCCAACTTAACAAACTGGGGTCTTTCCTCAAACGTGAGATACTACCTCCAGCTCCAGGGCGGAAGAGTCCTGCTTCCTCCTTCGGATAGGAGGCTCTCTGACTCGTTTATTCTGTGAACACTGAGAGGCCTTCCAGTGCCTCCAAAATCCACTTTCCAAACTAGTGACTGAACAGGGATCTCGGTACAGCTTTTGCCCCTAAAAAGCAGGTGTCCCGCCGGGACCGGTTTGGCTCAGTGGATAGAGCGTCGGCTTGGGGACTAAAAGGTCCCAGGTTCGATTCCGGTCAAGGGCATGTACCTTGGTTGCGGGCATATCCCCAGTAGGGGGTGTGCAAGAGGCAGCTGATCGATGACACTCTCTCTCTCCCTTCCTCTCTGTACAAAATCAATAAAATAAAAAAAATAAAAAAATAAAAAAGCCGGTGTCCCAATACCTAGCCTCTCCTCCAGACATTGGCATTAAGACTTCAAGACTACCTTCCCACAGGGACTCTGAAGACATTGGCACCTGGATCCTTTGGGAGATGCCCAGCAGAGGCCACCCCAGGGCATTATCTTCTGAATCACCAAAACTCCAAGGGAGAGAATATTTTAAGAGAATAACTGAAGATCCAAAGACTAAAAAGAAATAATACACATAACTGTTAACAGTTCCTGTAAGTGAGCAGTAGCCTGCGATCAGACGGGATGAAACGAGGCACAGGAAGCTCATCGCACTTCTGTCTTCAGACTTTTCTTCTTCCTATTTCTCCTCAAGAAATCAGAGAGCAGCTGAATAACACTACAGAGGATGTGCTGCCATCATGCCCCAGCTCTCTCCCAGGCCCACACGACATTACACTGGGCAGAAACCTATAAAGATTAAGAGTTCTATTTTTCTTTCAACTGAGTTCTAAGAATTTCCTTCTTCCATGAGGAACAAGATCCCCATAAATTTGGAATGTTAACTAGATTTGCTTTATAGATACACAGAAAATTTTGTGCATGTGTGGGAAACTTTTTTTCTTTTGGCAGAGTGGAAAAAATGAGAAATTAACAGTAATGTAATCTCTGGCAGTTTCAGTCCAACAACTAAGAAAACTCAGCCATGCGAACAAAAACTACTTAACAACCTTGGAATTACCTTTAAACATTTGCCCTTAAAGTCCAAGTGGCATTCCCCAGAGATCTGCCACATGCAAAGTTGAATTTGCCCAAGTCCCAAGAGATACAGCTGCGAAAAGGGTTTTTTCTTCCCTCCTTTGCCTTTATGTATTCACAGCTAACCAGATTTCTCTAAAAACAGTGAAGTGTACACAGCACACTGCTGGAGTTGGCACAATACAGCTCAGACAGCCAGAAAGGAAGGGGCCAAGGGGCCTACGTTATGTCCGCTGTTTCTTAGACAATGGAGTAGCCAGCCCAGGTTTTAGAGTAAGACAAGGGGTAGATTTGAATCCAGGCTTTGCCACCTACTTTGTGATTCAGATCAAGTCATTTCCTCTGGGTTTTTTCTCACTTGTAACATGGGGATTTCACCTACCTAAATTCTCTTATGGACTTAAGCTACATAGAGGGGCTGCAAATGAAGCCTGCATCTTAGGTGACAGTACAGGGGATAGAATTCTAAATAAATCCAGAGGCATCCTCTTTCAAGCTCTTATCTCACCAAGGCCAAAGTCTGCCCCAGCTAAAAGAAGGCTGCCCAGAGAAGGGTCTTCCTTAGGCAGAATTAGTTTCTGATAGGCTAAGGTTCCCCCTCCCCCCCACAGCCATGTTCTAACCTACTTTTTTAAAAAAATGTTTTTACTAGAGGTCCAGTGCACAAAATTCATGCACTGAGTGGGGGTGTGGAGAAGTCTCTCAGCCCAGCCTGTGCCCTCTCACAGTCCAGGAGCCCTTGGGGGATGCCGAAGCCATCAGTCGGACATTCTTAGCGCTGCAGTGGCGTCACCACCGCTGAGCTCGACAACGGTGAGCTCAGCTTCTGGCTGAGCGGTGCTCCCCCTGTGGGAGCGCACTGACCACCAGGGGGCAGCTCCTGCACTGAGCGTCTGCAACCTGGTGGTCAGTGCATGTCATAGCAACTGACTGTCTGCAGTTTGGTCAATCTGCATATTAGCCTTTTATTACATAGGAGGATTTTTTTAGAGCGAGAGGAAGGGAGAGGGATAGAGAAATAGAAGCAATGATGAGAGAGAAATATTATTGATCATTTGCTTCCTGCATGTCGCCCACAGAGAATCAAGCCTGCAACGTGGGCATGTGCCCTGACCAGAATCGAATCAGTGACCTCTTGGTTCCTGGGTCAATGCTCAACCTCTGAGATACACTGGCCAGGCTACCCTACTTTTAATTCCATATTAAAGGTCATCAAGCAAAGAAAAAGGTAAAGACACTTTAACCTACTCTGGAAAAGAGTTTTTTCAGATTCATATCACTGATTTCTAAAGCATGATGTTTTATTAAGAAGGAAAATAAGGCTCAGAGAGGTAAAGTAAGTTTTTCAAGGTAATACGAATGATTAGCAGCTACCTTCTATGAAGAGGAAATAGTCTAAAACCAAGCCAAGTGCTATGCCCTCAGGCCCAATAACTAGGTCTTTTCTTCCTTAGAATCAAGAGGAACCCAGAATACGCAAGTTACAAAGAACCGAGAATATGCAGCATGCCAAAATCCCAAATGGAGCGCTTCTGAGAATCATTCTCCTGCGTAGTGGTACTTTCATCTATTGAATCACACAAGTTGAAAAAGCCTTTCCCAAGCTGTCCGTATCTCCTAAGAACACTAACTCTCCTCAAGGCAGAAATGAAGTTCAATAAACATTACGAAGGGCCTTTGAAAGCAAAAGCCACTAGGTGCCCTGGGCCACTCACAGTTACATGAATGCTGAACTACAAAGACACCATAGAGAAACAGCAAGTTCAAAAGAAGGCCAAACCCTTATCTGGATTAACTTGGCAACAAATACCTGAATTCATTCAACATAAAATGAACTTTCTTTAGCGTGCTGGAAACAGTCTCCCAGGCCTGGGGAAAGACAGAAGACATGCAGCTCTTACTGCAATCAGTGTCAACAGCTACAGGAGGCAGAGGTCTAAGTAGCTGGCACACCCTTCTCCAAACAGTGCCAGCGAAGGCAGGCGGCGTGAACAGCTGCACTTCCCTGGGTGGTGCCACTCCTTAGCCCAGAAGAAACTAGAGAGCTGCCTCCTGAGAGTGGAAGCTTAATCACATCTCAGCCCAGCCTAATGCCAGCAAAACTCTCCTCTCAGGCACCCAGGGTGCAATGCTCAACAGGCCGGTCCCAGCTGCAGCGGGAAAGCACCTTCCACTCTTCACTCATGCCTTAATGCTGCACAGCCCTGGCCCAGATGACAGACTGGAGATTGAGTGCCTCGACGGCCACAGTCTGGGCTAGGACGCCAGTACACGTGAGCTTTGACAGGTCTGTAATTCTACTTGCTATAATAAACTCCGAAGGAACTGCCACCAGGAGCTAATAACCCAGGACAGGGAGCCTGGTGACTGGTGATCAAACCAAAAACCAAAACAACACCTGTACCAGCAAATTAAAACCAGGATTTCTGAAGGATAAGAGGAGTAGCGGGGGACTAAACCTGTGTGGTCCTCACTTCCTCCTCTGCCAACGGGCCTAAAAGGAGAATGTACCCCAGGGAAAGGCTGGTGTCTGTCTGTGAAAGGAACCCCTGGCACAGCTATCTCCAGGGGCAAAGTCCACTAACGGTCTCGTTTCCTCAGGGCACCAGCCCAGGAAGAAAGAGGCAGGGTCCCGGATGGAGATAGCCGTGACCTCATGTGCGAAGTCTGGCTTTGGCGGCTGGTACAGCTGCTAGAGACCGGGGCCCTGACTCAGCTGAACCCAGGTTACTGAGACCTATGTGCCAGGGCTAAATAGATTCCAAGACAAACATGGAACTTCAGAACGCAGCCCTGGTTCCTCAGGGATATATAAGCCATGAACTCCCCAATGTAACAGACTCCAGGACAATCAACAGGGAATAACCAAATTCAACGCTTTAGTCAAGGCCAAGCCAAATCTGGGAATCGTGGAAAGAGTGCGTGCAAGCCCGTCTCTGGTTTTCGGGATGGCATGTGGCGCCAGTGGCTGCCTCGGAGCCGGGCATGCGGCATACCTCTCCCAACAGGCAGAGCAAGCTGCTCCTCAGACCCGCTCCCCATCCTACCTACAGAAGACACGGCCTGGAGCAGATCTGCCCAGTGGTCCGGGGATGGCTGACCTCAGAAGCTCCTGGTGCGGAAACCCGGGCTTCACGTTTTAGGTCTGAGGCTTGCATTTTTAACCAACTCCCCTGGCAATGCTTCCTCAAACTTGGAGAACCGTGCAGCTCCGTAAAACTACTACTGCTCCATCTGCTAAGTGAAAATCACTTTCCCCATCAGCTGGAATAGCAGGTATACCTCTCTGGACACTTAGGGAAGGCTCTACACTCAGAATAGTCAGACCTCAGCCGGCTGTCAGCGGCCGGCGCAGGGCGGCCCGCACCGGCTACATGAGGCTCACACAGCCCGCGGCCCAAAGGGGGGCGGGAGGAGGCAGCAACCACACTTCCCGGTCCATCCCCTCGAAGACCCCTTTCCATTCTGGCCAAGTATCAGCCCTGCGGCGGCCGAGGTCTGGGTCGGCGGGAACCTACCGGGACCGGACCGGGTCGGAGAGAGCCACCCGGGCCAGGGACACCCATAACCTACAAGCGCGGGGTGCCAATAGGCCGCCCTCGTCTTTACTTTTTCCTCAGCTCGGGTGCAGGCGAGGGGTTAAGAACGGGCAGGATGCGAGGTCCAACTCTAACTTTTAGCCAACTCTCTGCCTCCATGGCTCTTTGGTAGCTTCTGGAGCCGGTGCCAGGCTGTGAGCCGTGACCGGTCCCTGAGGAAACTGCAGACACAAACTTCGCTCCGGAGACGCGGCCCCAGGGGCGAGGACGGGGCGCGGGGCCCGCCGCCTCGGCCAGCGGCGCCCGGCACGCCAGGCCCGGGACCCGCGGCTCCGCGAGGGGCGCTCACCTCGGCCCACCCGGCCTTCCAAAGGGTCCTTGCGAAAGTGGATCCCGTGCACGTCCACATGCGCCTCGCCGCCCGCGTTGACGGCCCAAATCACTCTGTCGGGCAGCCCGGCTCCCGCCGCGCCGACCACGCCGAGCCCCGGCCCGCCGAGCGCCGGCAGCAGCAGCAGCAGCAGCCGCAGGAGCGCCACGGCGGCTCCCTCAACCGCCCCGGCCCCCAGCATGGCGGCCGCCACCGCGGGGGCAGCCTCCGCCAACCCTCGTCCTCAGCCGGCCTCCAGGCCGCCCTGGGCTCAGAGGAACAGCGCCACGAGCCGCGCCGCCTCAACGGCCGGGGACATGTCGTTCTCAGGCCTACTTCTCAGCCGCCGCGGCCGCCTCCCACCTCGGAACAACCTACCCCGTCGCCCGGCCCCGGCCGCGGCCTGCAGCCAATCAGCGCCCGCTGCTCATTAATTACCCAATACCCCGCCGGAAAGCGCCCGCTCATTGGCCGCCAGGAGCGGGGGAGGGCGTGGCTACTCCCAGGCGCCGGCCCAACCATCGGGCGCAAGAAGGAGCGCGCGCAGAGGTTCGGCGTTCGGTTGAAACCGTGGTTCAATACGGAAGTGGCGGGGTGCAGCGCCCAGGCGGCCCCGGAATCCCGCGGCTGAGTAGGAAAGGTGGCCTAGGGAGGAACATTTAGGACAGAGCGCACCGACACGTCGCCAGGACTTCCGGTGCTCCAGATCCTGGGGCCGAATAGGCTCTAGAGGGGGCGTGGCCGACGGTCCCTCACCCTCCTTCTTGGGGAGAGGCATGAGCGTAAGTTCTAGAAGAAGCAGCGGACGCTCTTCCGACCTGAAAGTCTTTTTCCCCGCGTGAGTCCGGAGATCCATCCTCCCAACGAGAGGCCACATGCACAGATCTTCAGGACAGCCCCACGGGGAGCAGACCCCGCCCCCACCCTTAGCAGGCACCCGGCCGGTGGTAGCGTCCACAGGGCCACCCAATCACAATGCTCCAACGCAGCGGAAATGCGTGGCTTTGTGGGGGGTGGGGCTCCAGGCTATCCTCGTCACCACGGCAACGGCCAGGGGACGGCCCCAGCGTCGGAGGGGCGGGGTCGGGGTTTCCCCAGCCCGGGGGGTGGGGAGAGCTGCGGGCGGAGCCCGGTCCTGAGGTTCCGCCCTGGCAGGACCGGAGTTCCCAGGCTGCTCCTGACAGTCAGTCCTCTCCTCCGGCGATCCTTGCGCTGTGATCGCTGCCGGACTCCCGCTTCACAGATGCAGAAACAGGACCGGAGTGTTGCCCAGAGGGCCACGCAGCAAGCTTAGAGCACAGCCAAGGCAAACACCCATTTCTCTATTTGTTCCACAAACATTGATAGAGACCCTATTACTACGGCTGTCAGATTCAGCGGATAAAATACAGGAAGCCCAGTTAAATTTGGCGAACAAAACCACACCGGGTATCCTGCTTGAGAATCACAGTCCCAGGATTCAATTATGTAGTTAGAACAATGGTGAGTGCTTTTAAGGAATAAAATGGGATGCCGAAACGGAGAGTATCCATAGGGTTGGATTTTTTTTTTCCCCTTTTTCTTTTTTGCCCTACCCAATCCCCAAAGGGGGATTTCAATGCATCAGAATTCTTTGCCCAGTCCCCAAGGTCACAGGAGTAAGTTGGACTGTTCCCTCCTGCTCCCCCCCCCCCCAGTTTTGCAAGGATCTGGACTTGCTTCCTCCCACAGACTTGTTTCTCCTCCACGTCCTCTCTGGGGCCTGCGCTTGGGTTTCTAATTCCACTCTTTTCTCTCTGAAAACTGTCATCTTTGGAGGAACCTGACAAGTTAGAGCTTAAATAACCCTCAGAGCAGAGGCAATGGGGCTCCCTACCCACCACCGCCAGACAGTTAACCTCCGTTTATTTTATCCTCAAGGCAGTCTAATTCAGAAGAAAACTCACAGAAATGGATTAAACCTTCCTCAGAAGGCCTTAACTTCAAGCCTTCTCTCAGCCCCCATGTTAAATATGTTCAGTGGGTGAATTGTATAGTATGTGAATTATCCTATCTAATAAAGAGGGAATATGGTTGACCCCCACATTATCATAAAGATGGTGGCACCCATAGCCAAAAAGGAGGGAATATACTGACTGTCCCACCCTCAAAGATGGCAATGCCCACAGCCACAAGATGGCGGCACCCAATCCCCTCAGCCCTGCTGGGGCAGCAGGCGCAAGGCAAGGCTTGGACCCACCCCCAGGGTCGACCCAAGGCACAGTCAAGCCTGGGATGGGTGCTGCCCAGGTAATCAGGGCCAGCCGAGGCCTGCGCTGCCAGCAGTGCCAGCAGCAGAGGTTTGATAGGGTGTCGCCTTCACCGATGGCCAGGTTGTCTCCTGCCCTGAGGGCTCCCAGACTGAGAGGGGGCAGTCTGGGGTGAGTTATCACCCCTCCAGTGCATTCATTTTCATGCACTGGGTCTCTAGTATCTAAATAAACTTACGTTACCTTTCTGAGCCTTATTTTCCTTTTTTTAAAAATATTTTTGCCGGGACCGGTTTGGCTCAGTGGATAGAGCGTCGGCCTGCGGACTGAAAGGTCCCAGGTTCGATTCCGGGCAAGGGCATGTACCTTGGTTGCGGGCACATCCCCAGTGGGGGTGTGCAGGAGGCAGCTGATCAATGATTCTCTCTCATCGATGTTTCTGGCTCTCTATCCTTCTCTCTTCCTCTCTGTGAAAAATCAATAAAATATATTTTTTTAAAAAAATATTTTTTATTGACTTTTTACAGAGGAAGAGAGAGGGACAAAGAGCTAGAAACATCGATGAGAGAGAATCATCATTCAGCTGCCTCTTGCACACCCCCTACTGGAGATGTGCCCGCAACCAAGGTACATGCCCCTGACCGGAATCGAACCCGGGACCTCTCAGTCCACAGGCTGATGCTCTATCCACTGAGCCAAACCGTTTTCAGCCTTATTTTCCTTTTTAATAAAACATCATGCTTTAGAAATCAGTGTTATGAAGAAGAGGAAAAAGGAGGTAGAAGAGGAAGACACCTCAATGTACATTAGAATAGTCATTAAAATAATCCCTGGCCCAGGCCAGGCACTTATCTGACTGTTCTGGAATTAAAGGAGCCCCTGAGTTTTTGCTTTCTGCAACTTGCACCCAGAGTCCATAATAAGTAAAACCACTGAAGCTGTCCCCTCCCAAATCCTTTCTACTGAAGGACCCTGTACCCCTTGGGAGCGGCAATGTCTTCCGTACCCTGTACCCTATCACCCTGGGGCGAGGGAAATCGGTGGTGACAGTTGAGGACTTTCCTAACAGAAGCAGTGGGCCCCTCAGCTCTTTCTCTTCCCTTATCTCTCGAGACTTAACCATAAAAAGCCCCATAACTCACTCTCCCCATTTATAACAGAAAACTGAAGCCCAGACAGACAGAGGCCGGCAGTTTTCAAATGGCAGCCATTGCTCCCGCAAGCAGAAGTGGTTGCCTACATAATGACGTCTCATCTGAGAGGTCTGGCTCAGGGATAGTCTCCCAAAGATAGGGGTGACTAGGGAGAAGTCAAGTTTCTCTCAAAGCTGAGGGGATATTGAGAGCAGGACCCAGGGCTGGGATGGAAGCGGGGGCAGGAGACAAAGGGGTAAGGATTGCAGCTGCCAAATCAGACTAGAGGGTCAGACCCCAAGGCAGGATTATATCCAAAGACCCTGACCCATAGGAGTCCCCAAAGGGCCCCAGGCCTGCTCTCCGGGCTGGCTCTCCACGAGGCAGTGAGTCTGGGCTCTGGGGAAGCTGAGAAGGTTGTCAGTCCTCAAGTGGCCCAGGTCGTTTCTCTACAGTCAATGGGCTCCAGCCTCCAATTTTTCCTGCCAGTTGGCGAAGGTCATCCCCATGTGAGAGCCAAGGGCACGGTCAGTGGCTGCATTTCCACCTCCTTCAGCTGGGGCTGGCTTTGCATAAAAATTACTGCAAATCTGTGCAGCAGCAGGAACTCTCATGCATCGAGGTGGGAATGGTATAGCCACTTTGGAAGACAGTTGGATAGCTGCTTACAAAACTAAGCACTCTCTTGGCCAGCATGGTTCAGTGGTTGAGCATCAACCTATGAACCAGGAGATCAAGGTTCAATTCCCGGTCAGGACACATGCCCGGGTTGAAGGCTCAATTCCCAGACCAGGGCATGCAGAAGGCAGCCAATCAGTGATTCTTTCTCAGAATTGATGTTTCTATTTCCCTCTCCCTCTTCCTTCCTCTCTGAAAGCAATAAAAACATATTTAAAACAAACAAACAAACAAACACCTGGCCAGTGTGGCTCAGAGTTTAAGTGGCAACTTATGAACAGAAGGTCATGATTCATGCCAAAACCGGTTTGGCTCAGCGGTAGAGCGTTGGTCTGCAGACTGAAAGGTCCCAGGTTCGATTCCCGTCAAGGACATGTACATTGGTTGCGGGCACATCCCCGGTAGGGGGTGTGTAGGAGGTAGCTGGTCGATGTTTCTCTCCCATCGATGTTTCTAGCTCTCTATCTCTCTCCCTTCCTCTCTGTAAGAAAAGCAATAAAACATATTTAAAAGAAAAAAAAGAAGGTCATGATTCAATTCCTGGTCAGGGCACATGACTGGGTTACTGGTTCCATCCCCAATGAGTGGCATGCAGGAGGCAGTGGATCAATGATTCTCATTATTGATGTTTCTCTCTCTTTTCTCTTCATCTCTGAAATCAAATTTAAAACATATTTTTGAAATGTTTTTAAAAACTTACTAAACTAAACATATTCTTACCATGAAATCCAGTAATTGAACTCCTTGGTACTTATCCAAAGCAGTTGAACATTTATGTCCACACAAAAACCTGCACAGGGTCTTTTTATAGCAGCTTCATTCATATTTGTCAAAAATTGGAAGCAACCAAGATGACCTTCTGTAGGCGATGGATAAATAATCCTATTAATAAAAGGCTAATATACAAACTTCCAGTTATAACGTAAGTCAAGGTGACAGACAGAGGTCACTAGCAGTGTGGTGATCACTGCTAAGGCGCATAAATGTCCAATCACAATGTTGCACACTTGAAACCAATAATATAGTTTCTGTTAACTCTAAATTTTTTTTAAAAAAATTTAAAGATTTATCTCACATTGTAAAGATTAAATAAGTTAGTTTCAAAATGAACATAAATTATTTCCTGCTTACAGAAGAAAGATAAGCATTTTGCGGAAAACTCA